CCGGGGCCTGGCAATGGCGTTCTTCCGATCTCATGTCTAGACTCTCATTGAGCGCATTCAGCGGACTTGACAGTTGAGTGAGCGCTCACTGTTATTGGTGTATTCTTCTAACTCTAAAATTCTGATTGGATGAGTTAAAAGAATACACTAATAACAGCGAGCGTTCAATTATTTAGTCCGCTGAATGCGCCCATTATAGGGATTCTAAGATCACGTGATCAAGCTCGCCATCTGTTAGCTCGCATCTCAGATTTATGTTGTTGAACGCACCTATGTGGTCGGACTCTGTTTTCTAGAGACTCTAAGCAACCATGGTAGTAGGTAGTAAATGGTATTAAAAGCGTAATGAAACGATTTGTCTCACATTTTTATTTCTCTTTACTTCAAATTGTTATTCTCGTCTTCGTCTCTGTCTATCTTCACCGTTTATAACGCACAATCGAAATAGAGCATAATACACTGTAATGTATGTACAGGAGTGATTGCCATCGATCGAAAGTCTAGTATGGCACGTCCTAAACACAGAACCAGTGCAGACCTATGTGCTGACTGTGGGACACTTGGTGAGCACAGCATCATCTTTTCAATCATTTTTGTTACAATGACTCGACTCTGCTCGGCCATGTATGGCTTCAGTGAGATCATGTCATTCTTTTCTTACAACATAATCGGATAAATGTGAAGCAAATACGCATGGCTCGTAATTTTCAGAATTCTGACCAATACAGTTAAGATAAACTTAAATTTTTCTTTACATATTACAAGTTTGCAAAAAAGCTCTCATTTAATTATGAGAACATCATCGGTCTTTGTTATTGCGCTGTTTCAGAGCCAGGATGGGCATCAATAAATAGAGCTATTTTATTATGTGACGATTGTTGTGGGATTCATCGTAGTTTAGGGCGTCATGTGTCACATATCAAGTCATTACACAAGAGCATTTGGAATGCGTACCTATTAAACGTTAGTATACAGTAGCTATAGTTATGTAGAGAGATGCTCTCTTATTGAATTTTTCACATATAAATGTGTATAAATCACTTTTAAAATAACTGAATAAATATTCAGATGGTGCATACATTGAGTGATAATGGAGCCAACAGTATTTGGGAACATTCCTTGCTAGATCCCAGCAACTCCAAGATTAATAGACGAAAACCACAGCCCAAAGATCCTTTACAGTTAGTATTTCATTATGTACAATACATAAGTTTTATTTTGTTGCCAAATATATAATTTTCATTAACAGACATACTTATTGATGTTTTTGGAATGAATCAGATTTAAATAGAAATTGTTAGTTATTTGTTAGTTTTGTAGATTAAAATTTATTCTGAACAATATAGAGAGAAGTGCATTTTCTTGGTGTATAACTATTTCTTACTTTATTATTTGCTTGTAGTCCGGTAAAAGCAGATTTTATTAAGGCTAAACATCAACACTTGGCTTTCATATTACGGCCAAGTAAGGAGGAATGTTGTACTGAGGAGGAACTCGATAGACAGTTACATAGTAGTGTTCGTACAAGTAATTTAGAAACTTCATTAAGACTGTTGGCACAGGGAGCTAACCCCAATTATTTTTACAAGGTATATTTTATAATATAATAATTTATATATATCCAAGTATAATATACACCGATGTATTACATATAATTGCTGTATCACAGGAAGATGCTTTTGTTAAATTATACATGTTTGTGTATGTATAGGAGAAAGGAACTACACCCTTACACGTGGCAGCTCGTGCGGGACAAGGTCTCCAAGTAGAACTTTTAGTAGCTAATGGTGCAAATCCAAGTGTAGTTGATTTAAATGGACAAACAGCTGCTGATATTGCCAAGTAAGTATAGATAATATTATCATCTATGGAGAATATTTCAATATTTATTTTAAGCATCCTTTCTACCATTTCAGAATGGCAGGACATATGGATTTATCTGAACGTATAATCGAATGTATGTATGAAGTAACAGATAGATTGACATATCATATATGCTCTCGTAAGCCAAATCATCGAAGAGATCAACATCTCATTAGCTCTGATTTGTCTTCTTTCTTGGATAAAAACGAATTGGTTCTGGAAGGAAGAAACAGATTACAAACGGTATATAGACATTCATATGTGTTTTATTATTTATTTTTATTCCATGTTCTCATAAAATTATTTTTTTTTAGTTGCCAAATCATTTGCTAGAGGAGTTAGCTATGGATATTTACGATGAAGTGGATCGCCGAGAAACAGAAGCCAGTGAGTATCGTTTTTCTTTTATCTATTATAAATTTGATTAAATATGCTATAATTGCGAATAGAGTGCACGAGTTTTGTTACCAATTTAGATAATTAATGACACATTTCTTTGTCGTGCTATTCCTTTGGAAGGGTGAGTAAACATTTAAACCTTAACAAAAATTTAGTAATATGTACAAGGTATATAAGCAATAACTGAAACATATGAAATATGCTCAGACAAGTAGATTTTCATATTTTATGCATAGTTTGGTTTTCAACTGCATCTCTCCCGGAGAAATGTACCGTTCCATTTCTGCCAGTTAATCCACAATTGTCATCTACTAGAAACCAAGGGAGACAAAAATTAGCGAGATTCACGCCGAAGGAATTCACCACTCTTATTGTAGATTTACTGGTTGAAGCAGGTCGGAGACATACGCTTGCTAACAATGCACTTCAAAGTAATATTACCAAATTGTTAACGCAATTATTTTATGAGAGTACTTTATACGTCATTTATTATATTTTTATATCTTCCATACTTTTTTTAGACCCTGCAGTATCTATGCTTCGTAAAGAGCAACTTGGTAAGCATGGATCGCAAGTGTCTGACGATGAACCTTTGTATGACAGTGTTGCGTCTGACGATGACTATGCTGCTCTAACATCTACAGATAATACTTCATCTGACATTTCAAACCAGTTGAAAACTAATAATGAGGTAAGTTATTCATGAGGTAATTAATGACTCTAAATATAAATAAATCATTAACAAACATGACTATATTCATCCTTAGAATAACAATACAAAATATTAGACATTTTTGTATAGAAATAGAATGTTTTATTTTTTTAAACTACTACAAACTAAGATATACATATGGAAGTATATACAGTTTCACAAATTTATTTTTCTTTAACTCACATCAGTAGAGATGCAAAAAATATATAAATTTATCAAACTCGGTATTAGTTATATTTACCTGTTTGTGGTAAAATATTAATTAAAGGTACCAACACTATTAACAAAAAGAGGAATAAGGAATTGGCTGAGCACATGGCTTTTCTGTAGGCGATGTTACTAGGCAAGTGCACGGATCTATTTGTGCATGTGCAATCGTTGCCAAAAGTGTAAATTTTGACCATTGTAAAACATTAATTGGACTGACTGATTCATATAACGATTCGCAATCTACTAAACGCCATGATTTAATAACATAACAATGATTATATATATATATATATATATATATATATATATACACATACACACACACATTAATTTGTAACAATTTGTTTGCGTGATCATTATAACGTATTCTATACTTGTTGCGTTATGTTAATTTAAATCAAAGATTATTATTGTATTATTGTTTCAGGAAACATTTACACCAATCGCTAAAGGTCTTCCGTCCATGGTAGAAGTTTTAAAAAAACAATTGACCTTATCCGAATCAACAGTACGAGATCTTCGCGAGCAGGTACACACCCTGCAAACTGTCATTGAGCAACTCACTCAAGAGAACAACGAGTTAAAGCATATGCTACAAGTAATCATTACAAAATTTTATTGGAGATAACGTTATCTATTTTATAATACATCAATGTTCAGTCGCATGATAAATGCTGTAAATAAAAATTTGATTAATCTAGATCAAAGGTTCTAGTGATGGAAATATGAATGGGCATGTTGTTGGAGAACAGGAACCTGAATTAGAGCCAGTGCATGATATCAAAACGTCTACTATACGTGGAAATCAACGACCGGCATCTATGTATGAGACTAGAGAAGGTCTACGAAAACCAGCGTGGTCAACAACCATTTGTCAAGTAATTATCTTTTTTTTTTTAAACAAGTTGACAAAGTATATTCAATTTTTTTAAATAAGAAGAATCTTATATTTGGTCGAAACGGATTTTAATGCTTAAATATTTTTTTTTTGTGAATTTATATACATTCTGATTCTACATACTGTTTGTAACATTTGTACATGCTTATTATATCTACCGTATTTACTTGAATTGTTTTATTTAGACAAAACGCGACACTGAAGTATTATCACGGAATAACACGCAAAGTTTGTGGGAATGTGGCCTACCTAATCTGCCACCCAGTGAAGAAGTAACTCGACGGACGGAACAAGTTACCAGGCGAATTCAAGAGCTATGGATGGCTATGCAAGATCCAAGTCAACGGGAAGCCTTCGTTCCTTGCGCTGAGAGAATACGTGTTGCTGTGGCCGAGTTAACAGCTATATTTCCTCAGGTAAAATTACTGTTTATTCTTTTATTTGTCCTTCTCTTTTGCTGATAGAGACAATCTCTACTGTATCTGTTGTAGAATCCAATTGAGGAGAATATCAGGTCTGCCTTACGCCAGTTAAATGGCAATACCGGAAGACTTCAAGCAGAATGTTCCGGTCTTCAAAGATGCACCAGTGATGCCGAGCATATGGATCGTTGTTTGCAACAAGTACGTTCATGTGCTTACGATATTGCCAAAGCAACTAAGCTACTCGTCACGCAATTTCAAATGTAGATTCTTTCAATGTCACAGAAAAGTTTACAGAAGTATTAAGGAGTGCCTTTATTTCTTACTGAGTCTATAGATGTTTTTTCTTTTTGAATCTCTCTTATCTCTAATGGGGGGAGAGGGGGGAGGGGGGTATTTGGTCTGAAATTTCCTTAATTGGTATTCGTGGGTCTAATGTACTTTAAATTAACGAATCTTTGCTTAAAATTAATGTAATTAAATAATTGTTTTTTTATTTTGAAAGTCAAAATCCGTGAGATAAGATCATATAACTTAAAATTATGTAATTTGTAAATTGTGAAAAATATTTGTCATTACAACAATTTTTCACAACATAGTTGAAGAAAATATCCAGATTTATTAGACTCGTGAATACCAATTAGAGTACCAATAGTTATGGCAAAAACGCTTTATATAAATTTACTTTGCAGCAATAATTCATTCATTCATCGTTCTTTTGTTAAGTTTAGTAAATATTAAGCGAAATAATTTTTTCTTTTTTATCATTATTATTATTAGATTATTTGAGAGAGGGGGGGAGAGAGAAAGAGAATTATTAAAAATATACTTACAAATTATTTAAATAATTATGATTGAATACAATCTAACACAGATAAAACATGACATTATTTGAATATATACAGGGTGTTTGATAAATCTTTTGCACGGGGGCAGAATGGATTAAACTCCATCGAAGGCTGGAGAAGAAAAGGCCTTTACCATTTTGCAATTTTCGCATTTGGTTAACGAGATATTAATTACTGAAAATCACTGAATATTGGTTTTCAATAATTTTTTACTCAAATACTATCAATTTTATAAAAAAAACAATGACAGACCAAAATTGTTAATTTTCTTCTCTTATAAAGTTCTGGGAATTTTTTCAAAATTTTTTAATACCGCATTTTCTTATGTTGGTAAAAATTAATGCTCGGAAACATCAGACGATTTGACAGTTCGAACAGTTCGAATCTCAAGTTCGAACAGTTCGAATCTCAAGTTCGAACGTTAAATAGTTCGGATTGAATGTATGTTCGAACTATTTTAACTCACTTCAGAGCTGAAAGTTCGAATTTATTACATTTCGAACTCGGACATCACAAGTCGTAATCAACCTGAATATGTCCAGGATGGTTCAAGATATTTGTAGGACGATATCAATAAATATATTTTTTACTAAAAAGTTGAAAAAATTCTGAAAAAATTCTCAGAATTCTATAAAAAGAAAATAAACAATTTTTGTCTTTTACAGTTTTTCTGTAAAGTTGATAGTATTTGAGTAAAAAATTATTAAAGACCAATATTCGGCAATTTTTGTTAGAGGAACGGGACGAAAATCAAGTATAATAGAACTAAAATGCAAATAAATATTTGTTTTATAGCCTCATACAGAAGATGCACACTTTGGCTGTGAGAGATACACACAAGTAGTAGCGCGCGTATAGAGATGTATAAAAAGAAGTAATGACGAAAAGCGAACGATCAAGGGCGTTGCCGCGCCATCCTTTACATACGGATCGCTCTGTCAATCTGGACTACCAACAATTTTTAGTAATTAATAATACCTTGTTAACTATTGCGAAAATTGCAAAATGGTAGAGAACTTTCGACTCAGTTTAGTCCGCTCTATCTTACGGCACACTCTGTATAAACATATATATATATATATACACATATATATATATATAAAACTATGTAGCAATATATGATTTAATACCTAACAAAGACTGAATAGCGGCAAACCAATGAATTCTACATGTGTGCAAGTTAAGTTTATAAGTTTTGTTTAATAAGTCTTGCTCAAGCAAAGAATCCCGTACCATTCTTATGGAAAATGTCTTTCTGCGGATTTCACTAATTTTTGAATATGTTGTAGTTCTCTTCATTCTGAACAAATATCTCAATGAGCACAATTTGATACTATGAGCCGTTTCCGCGCTACGAGCCTTGAAAGCCAGTAATCATGTAAAATCTGGACTTCAAGGCTTGTAGCACGGAAACGGCTCATAGAATCAATTGTGCCAATTGAGATATTTGTTCAGAATGAAGAGAACTACCACATATTCCAAAATTAGCCAAATCCGCAGAAAGACATTTTTCATAAGATTGATGCAGGGTCCTTTTATATGTGAACTTTGTCACTGAAATGCTAAACTACAGGTCTGTGTTTGGAAACGTTAGGGTGCCTTTGTGTGTCATCTTATTCTTGTTTAACATTATAAATGACAAAGATGAAACGACACATTGAGACATTTGGATAATGTGTCCGAACGTAGCCCGGTAAAAGATTATTTTGAAGGCTGGAAAATTCCTGGATATAAAATGTTAACAGATATTTTCACTGTATGTATAAGTCTTTCCTTGTATATGTCTATGTTTATCGTGTGCCAAAACTTATCGCATGCACGCGAGCTCTTATTGTAATATCATTGAAGGAATTTAACAAATGTATCATATAAATGTAAATTTTAAATCTGATTGTGAGATAACTCGTGTGAGATACAGATAAACATTTTTTTTACATCTGTACATTTGAAATATTTATTAGTACTATCAGTTTCCAAAAGTAACTGTAAAAATTGAATGAAGTCTCGTACACTGTTTTTCTATATGAACCATTTTAATTTATCCAGTCGATTTTCTCAAAATCTTTGTAATAAAAATGTTTCTGACAAAAATGAATAGCTTACGAGATATTTAGTATTTCATGTTAATATGTGTCTGAGTAAAGTATAAAATATTTGGCTTATAACTATTGGTTTTTATTCCTTTCATACTTTCATATATAGAATAATTAGAAAAATTATATTATGTAAAAAAAACTATATAATTCTATTTAAAAATTATAATATATTATATTAAAATTATAATATAATTTTATTTAAAAAGTTCAGATAACCTTGACTTGACCTAAAGGATATCTCATCAAAGTCAATCAAGGTCACCATCTTTGTTCTTCTCCTTGTAACTAAACAACTTTTCTGAAACATTTTTGTTTTAAACTTAAAGATTCAGAGGTGCCAAATGGTTTCGCCGTGTCATGATCCATCGCTAATGTTAACGTTTCGTGAACCTTGCTGTTTACTTTATTAGGGCGGCGAGCGTCAGGAACTGAAACTGAGTTGCTCCTCCGGAGGATTCCTTTTATACAAACCCTGTTACGGGGGAGGAGATGTTTGGAGAAAGGGAAGAAGGGGAAGAGCTATTTTCCATAAAATTTACTTACATTATAGCCCATGCCTCTGTTTAAGTTATCTGGATGTTTTTTGATTTCCAAAGCCTGTACTTTCATGGAGGGTCTCGCGAGACCACTCGAGAGGGACGGACGTACGTCTCACCTCGCTTCGGGTGTTGCATCACTTCACCCACTTTTTGAAAAACGTTTCCGGCTTCGACTGTGCATTTGTATTATATTATTTGTCTTGATTACATCATTATTTTGTCTCATTCACCGGTTTAAGGTGACCAGTGTATCATACTTTGATTTCACGATTTATTTTCGATTCTGGCCAAAATCGCCGCCATTTTTGCGGCGAGTACTATTAATTTTGAAGATGTACTTTCGTGGAAAATATGTCGTAACTATAGAATTGTTTTATCAAACAATATTTGGTGTCCTGACTCAATGCTGTGTTTAGCTAATACTGATTGTATGACATATTTCAGTCTGATATCCCGTTGATATTTCTTCATGCATACATTGATCGTTCTCCCAGTTTCACTGATGAATACTTTCCCGCAAGAGTAAGATATTTTAAGGTATATTCCTGCTGAACTGAGTGGAGGCCTTTGGCCTTTAGGATTTTTCAAGATTTGCCCGAGTAAATTCCTTGAAAGCTTGAAAATGATTCGAATATTATGTTTGATATATTTTTTCAAAATCCTGCCGATCCGGCAAAATTTAAAGATTTTGAGAAAATTGTCTGAATAAATTAAAATGGTCTACTCTGGCTGTTTCAAAATTCACTGCCAGCGCTGAAAATCTACAGTTTACGTTACGTATACTATACATTTTCAGCACTGGCAGTGAATTTTGGAACACAGCCCCTGTGTATCTTAATATTAATTTGTATAATGAAAATGATACAATGATATTAATAAATTATAATCTAAGTTTATACTATTTATGAACCTATTGTATATTATTGTATATTTCTTATTTCATGTATTAACTACTAAATTCATATAACTTTTTTATTAGTCTTTATATATTTTATAACTTTTTGCTATCGAAAACAATCTGTGCAATATTGCAGATATAAAAATAATTAAATGTTAAACATTATTTTATTTGACTTGTTAAATTTAGACAATAAAATATGTTATTAATGCTATAAAGTAAGGCAATGTTACAATGATATATTTACGATGATATATCTATGAATTTTTATTACTATACATGAATGTGTATAGTAATAATGAAAATACTGTACCACTACTGTAATTTGTATAGTAATAATCTATATAACTGTATAGTAATTCTCCACTTTTTTAAATGGTCATATGAACCACTATAACTGTAATTGTAATATATGATCTCAGAAAATGGAATGTATTTTCGCAAAATAATTATATTAATTATCTAATGAAATGTCTACTATACAGAGGTGTTACAGTCTGTTCAATAAGAACGTACAGGCTGTTTCTTCTAAAAAAAACACAAAATTGTTAAAAATTTTATTTAGATCTATTATTAAATTCAATAAACTAAAATGCGTTTACTTAGTAAATTGTCCAATCTCCTTTGTTATCGAGTATGGCCTGGCAGCGTCGGGGCATGCTTTCCACGAGATTTTCAGCCATTGCCTCAGGAAGATTTCTCCAGATTTCCCGTATTTGACGAACGAACTGCTTTACATTAAAAACCTTCTTTTCTCTAAGTTTCACCTTCATGATTGCCCATACGTTTTCGATGGGATTGGCATCAGGCGATTGGGAAGGCCAATCCATTGTAGTGATGCCATTTTCATGTTTCCACTCCGCACACGCACGACTTTGGTGTTTTGGGTCATTGTCCTCTTGAAGCACCCATGAACTATTATCTGAGCTAAACCATCTTTGAGCAGACTTCAATAAACACTTATGATAAATCATATTCATTTTCTGTGCATTCAGATTGTCTGTGAAAAGATGTAAAGTACCAAATCCCTGTTTACAGAAACATCCCCATACGTGTACTTTCACTGGGTGTTTTACTGTACGTTGAACAACGGGATCGTGACGAATTGACCACGCATACCTTCTGGGAATCCAGACCCAAAAGGATGATTCATCGGTAAAGATTACATTGGCAAAATCATGGTCAATATTAGCCTTTGCCCACTCCAGCCGTTTTTCGACGTGTTTTTCGCTTAAAAAAGGTTTTAACTTTGTAGATCGCCAACATTTGGAATCAAGCAATCGTTGTCTAATAGTATTAAGACTCACATCTATACCCCTTTTCAATAAAAGATTTTTCGCTCGTCGTAATGAACACCCAGGATTCTTCTCAAATATCTTGATGATAGCTTTGTCGTCCTTTTTCGTCGTTGACCGTCGGGTGCCACGTTCCGGCAGGTCGTCGACATTTTTTGTTTCGTTGTAACGTTTCACCCACTTCCTGACGAATCCTTCTGACTTTTTCATGTAGCGCCCGGCAGCTGCATACGACATTTTCGGTCCTTTCGGATGTGTGCAAAGGAACACTGCTTCAAAACGACTTGCATACGCAGCACTCATTGTGGTTATTTGCTCTGTTACAGTCAAAATAAGTCACCCTACCCATGACCTCAAAGCATTCTTCCGAACTGTTCAGAGAATCGAAAAAACTAAACTTAACATCTGTGCATCATCTATTAATGAAGTGCGGAACCGTACGCTCTTATTGAACAGCTGTAACACACACACACACACGCGCGCGCGCGCGCGCGCGCACGCACGCAGCACGCACGCACAAATACATATTTAATGCATAGAATACACGTATGGCACGTTTCCACCGAGCGCGTCACGAAAGAGAAAAAGAGATAAAATTATATAAATACACAACCCCTCTCTTTCTCTCCTTCGACGACGCGACGCGTGACCGGCGTGACGCGCTCAGTGGAAACTCAGCCTTATATGTGAATACACCACGACATATACCTAGACGGAGACCAAGCATTCTGTTCCTAGCTTGAAACCGGAAATTGATACTTTAGGTGGACCACAGACTTCTATATATACTTACTAGACTGCTAACTTGTTTGAAAAAGTGGCCCCCAATTTTTATGTAACACAGGCAATACGGAATAACGAGCCGTTCAATTAGAGCTCTGGAATATGATATCGAAACCTCACAGATCTGATTGGACGGCTCGTTATTCCCTGTTGCTGATGCCTATTGCCTCTGCCTATTGTGTTTAAGGCTTAAAAAGTTTCTAGATGGACTAATAGCATATTCGATTTACTCTTCTTCTTAATTTTATTGGTCCCCTTAACGAGGTAAGCTTGGCCAATATTCGATTTACAGACTCGACTCGAGTCAACGGTTTGTTCTCTTTAGCTGCATTTCTTGCACAGTTTAGCTCTTCTTTTGCAGTTAAACAGAACAAACCATTGACTTGGAGTCGAGTCGAGTTAGGGCGGTATTCATAGTCCGATCTTATTTCAGGATTAGGGCTGCCGCACACACTTTCCGTAAGGCGTCGTCTACAATACACGGAGTAAGAAGTAAGAGTAAGAAATTGACCAATCACAGTCGAATGTGAGAAGAATAATCGACTGTGATTGGTCAATTTCTTACTCTGTGTATTGTAGACGACGCCTAACAGTAACCATAAGCCGTACCGTAAGTATCAGCCAATCAGAATTAAGAGTTCAAAAGAATTCTCGACTGTGATTGGCTAATTCTTATGGTACGTCTTATGGTTACTGTTATAGGCCTTCTACAATAAGCCGCAAGTCAGAACGTCAGAAATCTTAACCAGTTTTAACCAAGTCGTTCAAGTTGGCTATTGGCCAACTTTACCGATTATGACTTAAGATCGCTTAGAACTTCTGACTTGCGACTTATTGTAGAAGGCCTATTACGGAAGGTGTGAGCGGCAGCCCTTATCTTAAGCAATGTCTTAAGACGTAATACGGCCCTCTGATTGATTCGTGACTTTTTGAAACTGTACTAAGACGGTCTTGAATATAAGATCTGACTATGAATACCAGCCTTAAGTCGAACACGCTATAATTATTTTTCTTCTCCTATCAGTTGAGACATTAAAAAATTTATCGTATACAGCCAATATTACATGCGTCCGTTTTTTGTCATACGATAAATTTTTCAATCCTGTTGATTGGCTATAAGACAAAGAGGTCCGAGATACTCTTGCAACCAATTAACATGCTTGAAAAATTCGTCGTTTGACAAAGAAACCGACGCATGTAACATTGGCCTAATACATAACATATCAGCTTTTAATGAATCGTATTGCCGATTGACCCTTTTTACACCGTAAAATCGATTAGTACGCGTATCAAATTGATGCGGATTAAATATTTGATACGTCCTTATTTACACCGATCTGCTTCAGAACGGGTTAGGTGACGTGATGTCTTCACTGCTTTTCAAAATGTAAAACTTCTAACTGAAAAAGCAGTGAATTTTAAAGTTGATTTTACAATGAGTTGGTAGATTGTAGAGTCTACCATGTAGATGTCATTGTAGAGTTAGCTTAATATACGATCCAAAACGATCCCAAGCGTTTACAGCACGCCGAGATTCTTTGGTATTATTTGGTATGCGTATTAGCTTGGTCTGATACTCGTGATTCAGAAGTATCAGATCAAAATAATCCGGTAGCGTTTATACCAAGCGTACTAAGTGCTCGGTGTAAACTAGGTTATTGCATGACAAATGCAGGAGGCGAGCCGCATTTGCAG